AGAGCAGCCTAGGACGCTTGTGCAAGAGACATGCCCGGGACAGGGCTTAGGCAGTGGGTGGACTGTGGGTGTCACCTCATTGCCATGTGGTGGGTCACCAGCTTCTGCGACTTTATCACAGTGCCCCCCTCACAGTGTTCCTGCCAGGCACTGGGCCAGGAGCCCTGGTGCTTGCGGCCCCGAAGAGCAGTGGTCCTCTTCCATAGGCAGGCCCTGAAGTTGCCAAGCTACAAAGGCAGCAGTCTTGAGAACACTGCAGCCCTCACACCGTGCCATCTAGAGAACATCTCAGAAGTGTGTGCAGACTAGTGTCAAGAAGCCGGTGGTTCTGGCCAGGAGCACACAACCACTGCTGATATTAGAGCTGCAGGCTCCCTGGTAGATGCAACATGAGGCTGTTCTGAAGTGCGAGGTCAAGTGTGGTAGGTGGGCTGGGGGAAGACCCGGGGCTCTGAGCCTTTTGTCCCTGGGGCGGCAGGCAGGGTAGCAATTTGCTGTGAGCTGGGCAGCCATGGGGAAGGTGAACACCGCTGTTGACGCCATGGCCGGGGTGTTGGGAGCAGGGAGTTGTGAGGTCACAGCCTGACTCCGGTCTCTGAGGAGCCTCTGATGCGTACAGAAGCAGGGATGTCTCAGGCACAGACAGCTTTCTGCTCACAAGGAAGCTAACAATTTTCAACCCACTCTATTTCCCAAAGAGACGCACTTACTGTATTTTAAATGTGTATAACTGGGTAGCTCATCTGGTCCCTTTCCTGAGTAGCACTTCAGATGGGCAGTGAGGCTGGAGGGGGAGTGGGCTAGGTTGGGCTGGAGGTACCCATGGATGGTGGTCAGATCAGGGGGCCTGGCTCCAGAGGGCAGGAAATCTTGGGGGTGGGGGTTGTTCTGCCCGATCACCCACCTGCCTGAATAAGCACTGTGATTAGGCAGCCCTGCGGGATGGCGGGGGCACGGGCTTCAGGATCCCAGAGATGAATTCTGCTTAATTACGTTCACGCTGAAGTACTTAGAGAAAAGTATACAGATGTCTGCAATTTACTTTAAAATGCATCAAAAGAATAAAATGGACTGACGGCTGGCAGAGGGCCGGGGAGAGATGTCACACAGCAGCGAGTGACGTGCTTCTTGCGGACGTAGGTGGTGTGAGTGGGTGTTCACTGTGACATTCCTGCCAGTTCTCTGTGTTTGAAGGTACTTGTCAGAAGCCGGAAACTCCAGCAGGACTAGGTTTGAATGATGACCCCTGTTGGCAGCTGGTGACACTGGACACCAAAGAGTACCCACAGGGTAGCAAGCTTGGCCTGCTATCACCAGGTGCGGACATGCCCATCCTGCTGGGAGGACAGTGTCCAGCACAGTTGGGCCATCTCACTGATGAGCTTCCTAAGGCCAGTATGAGCATTCAATGGGCTCACTCCTTGCAGCTTCCAGAACCAGCCCATTAGAACCATGAAGGTGGGAGCAAGGTACCTTGTCACCATGGTGAGGAAGTGAGGACTGAGGTGCTACTGTGCATACCAGTAACCCCCCAGGAAGTGAGGGGCCCTGGAAGGGCCACTACTTGCACACCCCAAAGATGGGCTGTAGGGAAAACGCTCATCCTAGAGGAGCACTATTATGAGGAGGGTCACTGGCAGTGTGGTGTTAAATGAAAGGCAGGACAGGGGACACGGGAACCCAGGACACTCAATCATGCTCTTGGTTCTCAGTTCTAGGGCAGTGCTTGGGATAGGGACCACTGGCCTAGAGACCCAGGACAGGAGGACTAGCACCCCAGACAAGGACTGTGGCTACACAGTAGCCATGAGGTCTGCCCATTTCAGGCCATACGAGAACACTGCCACAAGTTCACACGTCTGAGAAGGGCAGGCTCAGATTACTTCCATGTGTCAGCATGGGGCCTCAGTTTCCCCATCACTCACTGGAGCCCCTGCAGTTTGAGGGCAGCAGGTTGCAGTTTCTGGGTTTGCCATCCACCTAGTGAGAGGTCCTGCCATGCAGATAGCCCCCAAACCTTCTTCCTACCCAGATTACATTAGGAATATACAAGGGTCCCCCTTGCTCGTGTGGGAATGCCAGTGACCCTCAGGGAGACCCAAAGAGGACAGTGTCAGTGTAATGATCTGTCTCCCTCAAGCACATCATGCACCCACACCCAGCTCCAAGAGGTAACTGAAGTTCTGCTTCCTCACCAACCAGCTGCGAACTAATTACAAAAATTCTAACTAGTCAAGCTCCCTCTCCAAGCATATGTTCCCAATTAAGCCGAACTGCAGCTGATTTTAATCAATCTTCCTTGAAGCGCCAACTTGAAGCCACTCTCCTCTTCCAGAGAGCAGGAGGGAACAGAACAGGAGACAGTGTGGCAGGAGAGGCACTCCAGGGAGGACATGCTGCCGCTGAGGTCTGTATGGGGAAGGCCTGGGCTTGCAGGCACTATGGCCAAGCTCCCAAGGAAAGCCCCAGGCTACTACTCAGGATAATGTTTTAGGCCTGCTTCTTGAGGACGTGAGGTGTCCCACACCAGGACAGAAATGTCATGGGGACAAGATATTTGCCCTCAGTGATGGAAAAAGTGGGTGGAGTCAGTAGATAGATAGAAGCATTTATTCAGCACCTACTACATACCAGGGTGTGGCAGTAAAATCCTCACATTTGATCTTCCTAAGGCCTCTCATGTGGGCATTATTGCCTCATTTTATAAAGGAACTGTTGAGGACTCAGGTGGAAAAAAGTCTCCCTGAGCCAGAAACCTCCTTCCCCCATTCTGTGAGAACCAGTCTCTGTACTCACATTACCATCTGCTCAGTGGGACCCACCTCTTTGGTCATCAACAGTGCTTTGCACCATGGCTCAGAAAGAGGCATCTTCATAGTCCAAGGGAGTAGAAGACGAGGGACCAGCTCTGGCGTCCCTTACCAATCCACCCTTATGTAAACCTTGCGTAAACCTCTTACTGGCCTAAGCATGGCCACAGCTGGGGTTATGGAGGGCAGTGCAGCTGGAGGGGTCCTGTGCTGCAGGGGGGTCCCGTAACTGAGGCTGGTGACCTGGGGATGACACTTGGGCTGCCCAGGCCATAGCTGCTACCAGGTTGCCCTCCTGTGAGGTGGCCTCACAGGGGTGAGAGAGGCAAGGGCAGGCTGGAACACATAGGGAGAAACACAGCATTCAGCCTCTGGGCAAGGTCTGCCCACCAGGAAAATAGGGCTGCAGCACCTTTCCCAGCACAGTGGAGATGGCCAGCTACGGGCTGGGGCCTTGGACCATCACCAGCCTTCCTGAATGCAATCATCAAGCGTAGCTGTTGCCCTGGGAGCTCCAGTGCTGTCAGAGAGAAGGCAGCACAGCATTCTGGGCTGTGAGTGAAGCTGAACCTCCTACCATGGCCTCTAGGGAGTGGGGAGAGCAAGATTGCAGGGCCACAGGAAACCTGGCTCAGAAACAAAGGGAGCCCACACAATGGTATGCTGATGCCCTGGGCCAACTGAGCTACCTTTGGGGCCTGTGTGGTTATCTCCCCCAGTGAGCTCTGGGAAATGTCCAGGAGCATTACTTCTAGATAATCCTCCAGTGGCTGGAGGATTATCTAGAAGCTCCCACCACTCCAAGGACAAAACCTCACTGCTCCCTGCCTCATGCCTGCAGCTGAGCTCCTTTCTTCAATGCTGCTGGGGCACAGTGATCCACTTGCTTGCCGGTCTTCAGTGTCGCCTCACAGGATAGATATTGGCCCTAAGACCACTTCCCAGTGTTCCCTTCTCTCAGTCATATTAGGGCACTGCTCTCATGCGCTCAGCCCTCTGTGTGGCCACTGTCCCTGTCTGCTTGTAGGGGCCCCACTCCACTGCAGATGTGCAGGCTCACAGAACAGGTGCTAACACTCATGCACAGGGCAGGGTGTGGACACAGGGCTGCAGCACAGTGGCCTCCAGGTCAGGACCCAGTCCCCAGGCTCTGAGCAGTGCCATTTACCTGGGGAAGGGCCCACCCCACCAGGGCTGTCCTGGAGTTCTATGGGAGAAGGATGGCACACCTAGCTAGTTCTACTTTCCTGTCACCCCACAGGTGCAGAGAACACTTGGCATGTCCCAGCTGATACGCTGTTCCCCCCATGGAGGGGATGCCCAGAGTACCGTACCTGCACAGCACAGGGTGCCAATGCCCACTGGGTGTGCACATGTGCCAGACAGGCACTTGGCTGCACTCTCATTTGTTCCTGAATAGCCTCTCAGAGGCCACTGAGGGATGCCTTGTGGAACAGCCCAGATCCACAAAAAGGGGACAATGGGTGCTGGTGGGGATATATTATACCCCAGCCTACTGTGAGCTCCAGTTCTGCTCAACTAGACAAGCAGAAAGGCATTCAGCACCTGCCCTGACAGGGCCTGGAGCCCAGGGCCAGGTCTACCCTCCAGCCCCCCAGCCGAGGACTGCAGCCCAATTACAACAGCACTAGATAACAGTTCTAGGGCTAGAACACAGTCCAGCTACAGCTCAGAGCACCTCATTTTATCAAAGCTGTCGTCTTTCTCATCACCAGGAGCTGGGTGATTGCCTCTAATAGGTGTCAAGATAAAGTCAATGACTTGTCTGAAAACCGGGTAATCTCAAACCTGTGGGTTTCCTGCTATAGAACAATTTAAATTGGCAGGATGAAAACTAAAAAGAAAGTCAACCAAAATGATGCAGACAGTAAACCAATGTCCAGATGGCAGGCAGGCGCAGGACATGCAAACCCAGAGCCATACAGAGGAGACCCCCCGGGCTCTGTACCTGTGGGACCACTCTGCATGCCAGGTGCCAGGGCTCCAAGAACTGCCATAAACTCAGAAGAATGAGAGAACCAAGGGCAGGAGGAGGACCCCAGGACATGGCCAGGTAAGGGTGGGTGTGCAGGAGCAAGTTCTTGGTTTGGCGGCAACAAGATATTCTTGGCTAGGAACTGGAGATTAGACCCCGGCAAGGTGCACCTCCCACAGTCACGCCATGCCTACCTGCAGTGTGCGCCGCTCCAGCTGCATCTCCAGCACGTTCTTTTCTTGCTCTAGGCGGCTCCGCTCTGCCTCCAGCTCTTCAACCTTCGACCTGCAAGGCAAGTGAGACATGACAAGGGAGCCACTGCAGCCTATGGGCCACTGAAGAGCTGAAGACGGGGCTCAAGAAGCCCAGGGTTGGCACTGAGAGAAGGTGCATAATCTCACAGACACAGGGTGGCAATCGGCAAAATCAGCAGTGGCTCAGATATGGGGGGGTCTGCTGCCAGCTGGAATCTCCACTCACTCCTGCCATGGCTAGAGGCTCATGGGAGAAGTGACAAGAGGAAGGACCTGTGGGGATCCAGTGAGTCCTGCATGCCACACCCCTGGAGCATGTGACCACACACAGAAGATAACATAAGAGTTATCAAAGAGATGACGGATTCCCCAGTGTGGGGCATGGTTGAGCTGACACCCGGGGCCTAAGAGGAGGACCTGAGATGAGCAACAAACATGGGTGCTGGGTGACCTGCAGTCTGGAGGGCAAAACAGTCTCTTGGCTGAGGTGGGAGTGCAACAGGCTCTGCCTTGTCGTAAGAAACAATTCTTGTCTTGGTTGTTAAATTTATTTTTTTGAAATATAAAACATCCACATGGTTTACATATCAAAAGGTCTGTCAAGGCCTATTGTGGTGGACACAGGTCGTCATGGGCAGCCATCTGCCCCACCTGACAGGATCTTATGATTTGGGAAGGTCTTGACTCATAGAGGGCAGACAGACCTGTGCCAGTCCAGCCTGGCAAGTCACAAACTATGACTCGAAAGTACTACACTCTTTCTAAAAAGCCAAACTAGATTTCTGAAAAAAGACCAAGAATATTTATGTGAGTACAATATTGTCCAGAACTCAACAATTTTAAGTTCATAATGCCTGCTATCCAACCAAAAATTACTGGGTGTGAAAAAAGCAGAGAAAGTTGGTCCACAGTGAGGGGGATAATCACTCAGTTGAAACCTAACACAAGCCACACTGGCATTAGAACTGGCAAGAAGGCCAATTAAAAGGTTACCCAGACTACTGGGACAATGGGCCAGTAAAGAACGGATACGGAAGACAGAAACACTCAATCAAACTTCTAGTGGTGGAAGCAACAACATCTGAAGAGAAAATCCCACAGGATAGGGTTCTTGGTAGATGAGAGTCTGCAAAAGAAGTGTTTCCAGTATAGGAATGCACCTGAATGGAAATCACCCCAAATAAAATGCAGAAAGAAAAGGGAATCTACAAATGAAGGAGAAGCAGTGATCTGGACAGCTTCCTGATGTCCCTGAAGACAGGGGATGCACAGCATGAAAACTATTCAGAAGTCAAACTTAGAGACAGTGAGTCCTGAGCCAAGAAGCCCAACAATGAGCCAAAGACAAGAAACACGTGAGTGACGGCCCAGAGCAGGTGAAAGGGAACTGCAAAAAGTCAGGGGCTGAGAACTGCAGGGTAGGGAAAGATGCTGCCTGAAGAAGACAGACGTTCTCACCCCACAGATCCACTGGGAAAGACCCAGAGGCAGCTCTGAAATACAGAGAGGACTAAGACGCACCAACCTAAATTCTATACTCAGCAAAAAGCCTTTAAAAAACAAAAGCAAAATTAGGAGGTTGTCAGATCTACAAAGACAGAATTCATCACCAGCAAAACGGCTCTCGTGCACACTGCAGGCAGCCCCTGGGACAAGGAAGACGACAGCAGAGGCAAGCACGACCAGGCATGGCGAAGAGCTGGGAGAACAGGCCACACGGGAACACGTGTGCTGCATATCATTTAAATCTAAAGTATTCAAGTTACAAACTGTATTTTTTTAAGCGATCAACTTTTAGACAAAACTAATAAACACATTTGAGAAAGTTTCAGAAACCATACAAATAAAATGCATGATGACAACAGCACTGAGCTCAAGGAGAAGCCAGCATCAGCTGGGGGTGGCCGTGCTCTATAGGAATATCGCTTGATGGTGGACGACGCTATGTCAGATGTACACTAAAACCCACAGATAACAAAGCAGCAAAAATGAAAACCTCAATTTCAAAAAAGAAACACTGAAAAAAAAGCAGCAGAGGAGATAGAATACTGGGAAAAGAAAACAGTAAGATGGCCAGATGGAACCTAATCATAGCGGTCATCACCCTCCCCTATTAAAAGGCAGAGACCATCAAACTGAGTTAAAAAAAAAAGTGGGGTGGGCTGAGAATGTCCAAAGGTCCTGGGTTCAATCCCTAGAGAACACACAATGAAACACACGAAGAGAAACTGGAGGGCATAAAACCCTAGACCATCTTCCTAACACTGAGGAGGTGCATTCGCTCAATGCAGGTACTGCAGACCCCGAGGACTCTCCAGAGAGCTACAAAGAGACACAGCAAAGCGCACAGCACAACAGGCAGACCAGGTCTATAGCCACAGCACCTTATCCTCACCCTCTCAGTAAGAGAGGGGTCACCAGCCAAAACCAGGCACAGGCAGCCTTCCTGACACTGTCAACCAGCCTGACCTAAACAGTGTCTGTACCCTTCTCTGAGAGTACTTCACACTTCTCTGTGTTCTCAGAATATTTTCCAAGACAGATGTATGCTAAGCAATAAAAGAAGGTTCAATAGTCCAGATAAAATTGAGTAATTCTAAGTATACTTTGACTATATTGGAAATAAATGAGAAATCAGTACCATAAAGATAGCTGGAAAATATCACTTACAAAAGCATTCACAACCATAAAAACTAAGAGATAATACGACAAGGCCACCGAAGGTCTGCACGCTGACAATTGCAGGGTGCTGCCGCAGGCTGGGACAGCCCTGAGTGTGGAGAGAGACCCTGTGCACAGTTGGGAGGGCGGCTCGGGGTGCCAGCAATGCACTTCTCCCACATTGATCTGCAGAACCACAGCAATTGTGACTGCTTTTACACCAGTCCACCCTTGCTGTAAAAGGGCAGACCCAACAATAGCACTGGTCTGTGAATTGGAAAGGGGGTACCTGAGCTGGCCATTCTCCTGCAATCCCAGCATTCTGGGAGGCTAAGGTGGGAGGACTGAAAATTTCAGGACATCCTGGGCAAGTTAGTGAGACTATCTCAAAAAAGAAAGGGCTAGGGATGTGGCTCAGGGTGAAGGCCCTAGGTTCAATCTCTAGTACTGAGAAAACCAACCCAACCCAACCCGAACAAAACCAAACCAGGGTACTTTCTTTTACTGTCCTCCTTTTCATGCAAACTCTCACAGGGAAGAGGAGCAAGAGAGTGAATGAATAAGTACAGTCCCATGTGGTACTTATGCCTGGTCAACAGTTGCACGGTGTTTTTCCCATCATACTGTGTCATCCAGGGACAGTGGAGTGGCTCAGTTTGCATAAACACAGCCCTTGCTGTTCACACAATGACCTTTGGCCCAACGGCACACTTCTCAGACCTACCCATCACTAAGCAAGGCATGGCTCACAATTCTAAATTTGGTTTTCCCTCAAATGGTTCAAAGTAATCAGTTCTGGCCTGAGATTCTAGAAACTTACTTCTTCTGTTTGGAATACTGAGTGTGCTATTAAACTGGGAGGTTTCCCAGATTGTTTCCCAAGAAGAGAGCCAATCAAAGCAGGTAAATGCAAGTAAATGTGTGTGTACATAGAAACCAGCTGGAAATGTGAAAGTGTTGTCCCGCTTAAAATACCTACAATGACAGTATCACATACACTGGGAAACACTGACTGAAAGAACTGTGTGCAGAAGACAGGCAGTGCGGGGACAATGCTGCAGGCAAGGCTGCCCATGGTGTGGCGTGGCAGGGAAGCACGTGGATTGAGGGTCTCACGCAGATTAGTCTCCTCCTGACCCCAGACCCCTAACAGGCCCCAGTCACTCATCAGATAGAACACACTTGTTCAGCTAGGCATGATGGTGCAGGCATGCAATCCCAGCACTCGGGAGGCTGAGGCAGGAGGATCACTGCAAGTTCAAGACCAGCCTGAGCTACAAAGTGAGCTCAAAGCCAGCCTGAACTGCATAGTGAGACTCTGTCTCAAAAAGACAAACAAACAAACAACACTGTCTGTTGAGTTCTTTAAAAACTCTGTGTGTGTGTGTGTGTGTGTGTGTGTGTGTGTGGTATTACGGACTGACCCAAGAGGGGCATTACCACTGAATTATACCCTCATTACTTTTTCATTTTTATAGTGAGACAGGATCTCACAGGCATATGCTACCATGCCTGGCTTAAAAACATTTCAGGATTGATGACAAAAACAGTACCATCATCTGCTGAGATTTTCAGTGTGGGCAGACGCACAGCAGTGACAAGAGATGACCGGAAGTGGTAAGACATCTGGAGGTGGCAGGGAGGGAACACTCTCCATAGTCCTACAGCAAGCACAGACGTAAAACCAAAATACAGACTGGAAAGAACTACATTACAAGGGAACACCCAAAGCAGTTCAACAGAAACAACCCAGCAGAGAGTCACCGGCAGGGGGCAAAGGACTGCAAACAAATAGTGAACAGCAGCAACCACATGCAGAGATGGCCATGGTGGGCTGAAAGGTGACCTGGCTGCAGGTTGTCACTGCAAGACCAGGTCAAAGAAGTAGACATGGTGGGAGAACATTCACAGAGCACAGACTGGGAAGGAGTCCACACGACAGGCAAGCACTCGCCCTCCAGGCTGGAACTGTGCTTGCCCAGGGCTTGCCCCAGCATAGAGCTGAGCAGCATTGCAGAAGAAGTGTCCAGCAGCACCTCACAGGCCACCCCGCTCACCATCCACCCATGGTGCTGCCTCAGCCTGTCATGAGCTCCCTACTACAATGCAATGAGCAGGGCTTCACCCCCTGATCTTCCATCCAAAATCCACAATCTCAGCCATGAACCACAGCAGACACACACAGGTCATGGACACCTGGCTGCCACGTCAAGTCTTCAAAACAGAGACTGAGACGCTGTCACAGAGCATGGGACATGGAGACTTAATGGCTAAGATCAGTGTGTACCTGGAACTGCACATTAATGGGAAGATGGGACCCAAAGGAGGCAGGAGATTAGCTGACAGTAAGCAACCAACAAGCGCGCACTG